CTTTCCAGACTCCACATCAGAAGCCTTTGAAAGGAAAAATCTCTCCTGGTCCTAAGTCCACAGCACTAAATGCCCATGAGACACGAACCAGATGGAGGCAGAAGGCAGGGTTCCCGGGGCGCAACTTCAAGATGAGTTGGACCCATGGCTCAAGCAGGAAGCTTCCACTCTCAGAGGCTCCCTCCCTCTGACCCCAAGCTGATCCTGGTCCAAAGAGCAGGAGGAGGATCCAGAAATGCTTCCAACACCCCGGGGCCCCAGCAGGAAAATACCCTTGTTTAACCAAAGCATTTTCAAACCCTTCTGTTTAGTTCTTAGTGACATTCATAAGACAGCACAGCGGAGCCTGTTAAATATCACACGGGATGTACGAGGCCTGCTGCTGGGGCGGCGCACAGCACATCAGTGGACTTGCTTTAATGTCGTGCCAGGTGAAGGGAGTCTTGTAGAGCTGCCCCCCATGGACGTCCTGGGCCAAGATTCACTCAGGGAAAAGCCCCCATAGAAGTCCTGGGCCAAGATTCACTCAAAGAAAAGCCTGGGCAGAGCTGGGCCAAGTCCCAGAGCTGAAGGGTGAAGGGGGGTGACAGGTCCAGTGAAGTGCAAGCTGGGCACTACAGCCCTAGAGTGTGGGGCGTGTTCCAGGAGATGCCCGCAACGGCCGCACTCCCAGAGTCAGCCCAGGGAGGCCCTCCCATGGCCCCCATCAAGGCCAGTTCCATCCATTAAAGTGTCCAGGAGAGGAAGCTTGAGGGTCCCCAGTTACTGCTCCAAACACAATAGCACTGAGCTCTCCCTCTTTTACAGTCAAGACGTCCACCTGTGGTGCCCAACTGGTGGGCAGAAACCTGGAGGACGCCAAGGCCAGGAGGGAAGGGAGGGCACAGGGGAGAACTGCCTGGTCTCCAGGGGCCCCTCGCCAGGCACTCCTCACTTCCTGGGCTCAGCACGGACCACAGAGGCAGGGTCCAGGCATCAGTAAGCCAAGCCTGCGAGAGCATGGAAAGAAGTCAGCTCCTCTCCTTCAAACCCGCCCTTCCACCCCGTCTACCTTAATGAGGCATCTCTGGTCACTTCCTCTTTTACCAAGAGCTCACCTCTCCGGAAACATGACCTCAAGTGGAATCACAGGAGGAGAAGGCAGACAGGAAAGCCGTGGGATGGACTGAGACCCAAAGACTAGGAAGTGTCCTGGGAGAATGGGTAGCATCCTTGTTGATCAGTGATGAAATACCCAGGGCACAGGCAATGAAACAGCCATCCAGGACTTCTCAGGAGACCAGGGGTAGGGCAGGCACAGAAGGTAGGTTTCCCGGCTGCAGGGTCACCATGGCAACCTCGCCCACCCACCTGCCACACTGAGTCACAGGCAGAGCTCCCCAAGGATACATGGGCGCACTGTACCGGTCCCCAGACCCTGCCAGGCTCACCCTACACACGGCTCTGCCTTCACCCCTCGTCCTCCCGCTTGCGGGTGCGTGCTTAGTCACTCAGTCGTGTCCAGCTCCTTGCGGCCCCGTGGACTATAGCCCACCAGGCTCCTCTGTCCTTCACTATCTCCCAGAGTTTGCTCAAACTCATCTCCATTAAGTCAATGTTGTCATCCAATCATCTCACCCTCTGCTGCCCTCTTCTCCTTCTGCCTTCAACCTTTCCCAAAACCAGAGTCTTTTCCTCCCTTAAAACACCACTAGTGAGAGGGGCTGCCAGTGTTCCCAAGTTTGCTCTGCTCAGGACCCCAGGGAGAGGTCCACCTGAGGCTTGATGCCAGGCCTGCTGCCCACGGCCCTGGTGCACTTGGCCTTACTCCCAATGCCCCAGCTTTTGGTCACTGATCCTGGACTCAGACTTGGCCTCTAGCTCCTCCAGTCCCTCATCCATCCTGTCACCCCACATATACTATGTGTCATGCAGCCAGACAAGGTCAGTGTAGCATTTAGGACAAGGAGAATCATGTCTCCACTCAATAATCAGTAGGTTCCTCCCATCACATTTTGGGAGTGACGTCCCCATCAAGTCTTGACTTTTTCTCAGCTCTCAGTAAGCTGAGTCCCAGCCCAGCACCACCCCCACCCTAGAGCACACATGTGCTGCCTTGGTGCCCAACTTCCTTTTCTGGGCCCGAGTTTTCTACTTCTAATCATCCTCTTGCTGTGTTCATAGTTTCATTTTGAAAGTCAAAGTCACTCAGTTGTGTCTGACTCTTTATGACCCCATGGACTATATATCGTCCGTGGAATTCTGCAGGCCAGAATGCTGGAGTGGGTACCTTTCCCTTCTCCAGGGGCTCATCCCAATCCAGGGATAAAACCCAGGTCTCCTGCATTGCAGGCGGATTCTTTACCAGCTGAGCCCCAAGGGAAGCCCAAGAATGCTGGAGTGGGTAGCCTATCCCTTTTCCAGTGGATTTGCCCAACCTAGGAATCGAACCGGGGTCTCCTGCATTGCAGACAGATTCTCTACCAACTGGGCTATCAGGGAAGCCCACCCCAATTGTTTTTGTAGGCAATAAGGTATGTTTCTTTAAGTAAGCAAAAGAGAAAAGCCCACCTTCTTCAGGCTTTTCCAGCCCCACAGGGATCAGTCCTTCTCCAAACTCCAGCTCATTTTCCAAACCAAGGCAGTGCCTCCCCTTCAGCCACACAGGCCCGGAGCTCCCTTCCCTCTGCAGCCCTGTTCTCCCAGGTCCTCGAAACAACCCCAGTCCCACTCCTCCACCCCAGCTTCTTCATTGAGCTCCAGGACCATAGATTCAGATGTCCCCAAGACATCATGGGAGTGGCAATACTCCATCCTCTGAACCTCACACGCTGCACATTCAACATGCCTGTCAAATGGCTCCATGGCCCCAGAGTTACCAAAGGAGGAAACATGGCAGCCACCACTCACGGAGTCATCCAACTGATGCTCACAGCGCGCTCGCCATGAGCCAGGCTCCATGTGCAGGACCAAGTGTGGGGTTAAGTGAAAGTGGAAAGGAAAGCCATTCAGTCATGTCCAGCTCTTTGCGACTCCATGGACTGTAGCCCACCAGGTTCTTCTGCCATGGAATTCTCCAGGCAAGAATACTGGAGTGGGTAGCCTTTCCCTTCTCCAGGGGATCTTCCCTACCCAGGGATGGAACCCAGGTCTCCCGCATTGCAGGTGTATTCTTTGCCATCTGAGCCACCCCAAGTGTGGAGTAAACAAAGCAGAAATGGCACTGCCTCCAGGGAACTTTCCACCAGTCCCCAGGCCCGTCAAGACTACTTATCACTCATACACTGATACACTTCTAATACTGATACACTCCTACACTTACACACTGATACTGATACCGGGATTTGAACTGACATACTTCTTTCCACGCCCGCAGCCTCTGTCTTAGGCCAGACCAGGGTGCTACTCTGGAGGAAAGCAATGGAGGTAGGATCCAGCTCTGAAACAAGGGAGCTGTGCAACCGTGGGCAAGTTACTTCCTCTGTTTGATCATTTGGCAGATAAGGATGATAACAGCACCTACCTCATAGCCTTGTTGCAAGAACTAATGAGATAAACTGTATAGAAGACTGCTGTCTGGGATGCAATAAGCTGGCTCCGCTTATCAGCAGTTGCTATCTCCCCAGCAGCCACACCTCTGACCTCCCCTCCCCAGGACCCAGCTCCACGTGCTCCCACCACCCATAGGGACCCATAACCCCAGGCGTTCTCCTACCCTCCAGCCTTTACATATGCTTTTCCCACAAACAAGTAACACAAGATATAATCTGAAAAGATGTTTCATCCATACATCCCTTTAACAGCTGCCCTCCACAGAAGTGGACTCATCGTGCGTTCCTTGTATCTGCATGCCGGACTCTCTCCCTGGCTTCCTCATTCTCATGTTCCAAGGTTCAGGTCAAGGTCCTGTCCTCTGTACCCCGAGGCTGAGACCAGGCTCTCCCCTACACACTTGCTCCAGGAGCCCACAGCTCTCAGCCCACTGCATCAGGATCCCTGCTCCCCTCCTCTGTCTCCCTTCTGGACTGGGTGCTACTCAAAGAGCACTGTGTTCACCTCTGCTTGCCCATGCTTTAGAACCGCTCATGGGATGCCACAGAGTCTCAATAAATATGTTAATAACAAACAGGAAAAACAGGAGAATTATGGACACACATTTCAACTCGCTTTAACAAAACAAACCTTCCAAATAATTAGATACTCATTAAGCAATTACTTTATGCCAAACTCTGTGCTAAGCTTTAACACACATGTCATCTAATCTTCACAATAATGCTGTGATGTGGGTGTTTTATTCCCATTTCATGGGTAAAGGAATGGAGACTGCTGCTGCTGCTAAGTCACATCAGTCGTGTCCGACTCTTCGCGACCCCATGGACTGCAGCCTACCAGGCTCCTCTGTCCATGGGATTTTCCAGGCAAGAGTACTGGGGTGGGGTGCCATTGCCTTCTCCGAAAGGAATGGAGACTAGGACATTTGAAAAACAGGCTCCAAGTCACACAGCTAGTGAGTGGAAAAGTCAGGACTCAGACCCAGGGCCGTCAGATGCCCCACAATCTGTCCAACATTTGCTGAGCTCAGCTCTCAGTGTGAAGGAGCTGCCTCTGAGATGTGCAAGAGCCCTTCCCTGATGGTCAGAGGACCTCACTGGGATAATGGGTAAGGGCTGGGGCTTCCTTAAAGGAGGAAAGGTGGACTTAAAGTCACTGAAGTTCCTCTCTTACTCCAGGTTCCAGGGTCTCTGATTTTAAGTTAGGAGCTCCTACAGTTGTTCATCTTGGTTACCCCGCAGTGCTTAGCATGAAGCTGGGCACACAGCACAATAAATCTGTACTGAATAAAGGAATGCACAGATGAATGGATGAATGAATGAATGGGTGGATGGATGGATGACAATGCATTTTGCACACATCCCAGTCACCCTCATTGTTCGGCTCACGATGGTAGCGCAGCAGACACCGGAACACAGAGCCGGTGAGCGCCCCCTACCGGCTCCCCGCGGAGCTGCAGCAGCCCCTACCTGCACAGGTGGTCTGTCCGGCACAGGCTGCGGAGGTCCAGGCAGTTGGGCTTCTCCTTGTCCTCATAGGAGCAGCTGGGCAGGATGGTCTGGCGGCGGCGCTCAGCGCACGCCTGGTCCTGGCAGGAGCAGAAGAGCATGCGGTAGGTGTACTCGCTGGGTACGCGGTCAAAGAACTGGCGCAGGGCCTTGTGGCACTTGCGGCGGTTGCAGCGCTCGCTGGGTGAGATCTCACGGTTGCAGATGGAGATGTAGGAGGAGCGCAGCTTCTTGCAGTTGTCGTTCAGGTTGCAGGCCTTGGCGGCATCCAGGCAGTGGTTGCTCTTGGTGCTGACCGCCGGGTCTGCCCCTGTCCCTGGAGGGAAGGAAGGGGGTAGTCAGCCCACGGTGGGGACAGCCCCCAGGGTCACTGTGCTCTCTGCCTTGGCTTCCTCATCTGTTAGATGGAGATTATTTAGCAGCCCTCCTGCCTAAGGCTGTGATTAAGATCAAATGAGTTAACATGTGGGTCCACAGAGCAAGCTGTACGTATGGTGTGCTTTTAGGATGACAACTGTTAATCCAAAGCCTTATTTAAAATTTATTTCAATAACAGTATGAAGTTTCCTGAAAAAAGCTAAAATTAGGGCCACCATATGATCCAGCAATCCCACTCCTTGGCATATAACTAGAAAAGGTTATATCTAATTCAAAAAGATATATGCACCCCAATGTTCAAAGAAGCACTATTTACAACAACCAAGGCATGGAAACAGCCTCAGTGTCCACAGGCAGAATGAATGGATAAGTAAGATGTGATGTATACACACAATGGAATACTGCTCAGTCATAAAAAAGAAAGAAATTATGCCATTTGCAGCAACATGATGAGCCTAGAGATTATCATACTAAGTGATGTAAGTCAGACAAAGACAAATATTATATGATATCACTTATATGTGGAATCTAAAAAATAATACAAATGAATGTATATACAAGACAGAAATATACTCACAGAAGACAAATTTATGGTTACCAGAGGGGAAAGGGGACAGGGAGATAAATTAGGAGTATAGGATTAACAGATACAAACTACTATAATACTTAAAACAGATAAGCAACAAGGATTTACTGTATAGCACAGGGAACTATATTCAACACTTCGTAATAACCTATAGTGGAAAATAATTCGAAAAATATATATGTACATAACTGAATCACTTTGCTATACACCTGAAACTAACACAATATTGTGAATCAACTATACTTTGATTAAAAAAAAAAATCTTATCACAAGACGAAAAAGCAAGCAACTAGGTATTCATGGCTCTGTCCATAAAAGTGGGAAATGGGGAAACAAAGGGACTGGCTCAAGAGCACATAACAGGGTAGCAGCTGATGCAAGACGGGTCCCCGGGTCCCTGGGCACCCAGCAGCCACACACGTGAGCAGGGCTTCTGACGGGGGCACTGCCAGCCCGTAGGAAGTTCCCACTGTGATCTTCCGTAGCCAGGGTACAAACAGAACTACTGCCACCATCCTCATCCCCAGCACGGCGACCACGGAAACTGTGTCCACACATTCCAAAAGGCCCCATGGCACGGGGTGCCACTGTGCCCAGTTTGTGCCCAGAGCACTGGAAGTGCTGGACTGGGAGCTCGGCCATGTGAGGAGAAGGCTGAAGCCAGCCTCGGACTCCAGCGGGCGGAGCCCTCGTCAAGCAAAGTGCGGATGTGCTGAGGGCCGGGACCTCGGTGTTCGAGCCGTGGCTTTGAGCTTTGCGCCCGTCTGCAGAGCAAAACACCCCGGACACAAAGCTGTAATCCCGGAAACTGTCAGGCTCCTCCTGGTGTCCACCCCACCCCCAAGGCCCAGCTGCTCTCAGGGGAACACACAGCAGAGGACCCACCATCACCACCAACAGAGCATCTCTTGTGCATCCTGATGACACACGGAGCCGAGAAGCAGTCTGCACGCGCCCCTCGCCCCCCATGGCACGCTAGTGAGACTGAACGGAATCTTCAAGTACACTCGCAGCAAACCTGAGCAGAAGCCCAGATCTGGCCAGCACCGCAGCACACTGCAGACAGCCCCGGCTTAGGATGGACCGCCGTAGCTTTCATTCATTCCTCAGTCACCCAACAAATGCTTTTCCGTATTTCTGTCTGCTCGATGCCCCACCCCCACAAGGACAGGAAGGACTACGGGGACGCCACGCCCACGCTCCCATGGCACTTCCAGCCCAGGTCCTTGATCATTAAAGATCTATCAAGTCCCACCTCTGCACAGCCCTCTCTCCCTGTGAGGTGTTGGGCTGGACATGGAAGTGTGAGATGAGGACCCTCCCAAAGACCTCACACATCTAGCTGGGGAACCAACAGAGTAGTTAAGACTGGACATTCTAACACTGAGGCATCTGCATTGATCCCTGGTCCTCATACTCATCACTGGGTGGCCTTGAGCAAGTGACCAGGCCTTCCTCTACTCCATCTCCTCATCTGGAAAACAGTACCTACCTCACCGCGCTGCTGAGAGTATGAATCAGCTCATTTCTCTCTCTCTCTCGTGATAATTTTGCCCTGTTACTACATCTTCTCCATCAGCTAATACACTGAACATCTTTAAGGGAAAAAAAGAACTTGTGACCACATACCCCCTACTAAAGGGGTTTCGCTGGTGGCTCAGTTGGTAAAGAATCTGCCTGCAATGCAGGAGATCTGGGTTTGATCCCCGGGTCGGGAATTCCATGGACTATCCACAGGATCGCAAAGAGTTGAACACAACTTTCACTTCACTTCACTTCACCTATCTTTCTCCTCCTCTTTAAACGAAACCCCTCAAACAAGTCACCTGTACCAGTGGTCGCCTTCTCCACTCCCGTCGTCTCCTGGATCACTAGGCAGCGATCAGAGACCCCAGGCTTTCCCCCCGCTCTGCCCGCCGGCCCACTGGACACAGCGGGTGGCCCCTCCAGCCCCTCTCCTCACTGCCTTCACGATGCCTCCGTGAGCTCTCCCTCCAGGCCTGCTTCATGGCTTCCACCTTCTCCACAAGGGCTCAGGCCCCTCTTCTCTATAGGCACCCACTCCCCTGGGCCTTCCACTCATGCTCAGCCCTAAACACCATCAGTACACTGTCAACTCCCAAATTTATACCTCCAGCCAGGTCAGAGACCTCCACTCTGAGCCCCAGACTCAAGAGGTCCAGCTTCCTGCCCATCAGCTGCACCTGGAAGGCTGATGCCCGCATCGCAAGCCACAGTCCACGTGCTCCCCCAGGGGTGCCCCCACCCCGTCTTCCTCAACCCTCTAAAGAACAAGCCCAGGTTTCCACTAGCTCAGGCCAAAAATCTTTGCCCTTCCTAAACTCCTCCCTCATCCACATCAGAAAGACCTGGTAGATTACACCAGACTCCAGTCACCCTCACCACCACCACCTTGGTCCTAACCATTGCCACAGCATACCTGTAAGGGCCTCCTTTCCAGGCTCCCTGCTCTGCCCCTTCACCCCCACCCCCTCCCACCCCCACAAGTCTTCTGTCATCACAGTTGGAGCAAACCTTCTACAACCCAAGGCAGAGATAACGCTCCCGGGCCCCAAAGCTTCCAGTGGCATCCCCATCTCATTCACAGGCCCCTCCATCCACGCTGTCCAATATGGTGGGGGCTCCTGAATATGGTCACTGAACAGGAAGTGAAGCTAGCCCGAAGTGAGATGTGCACACCAGATTTTGAAATCATCATAAGAAAAAATAATAAAGCATTCCATTTCAAATCCCATTTTCCTTGATTATACGTTGAAGCAATAATATTTGGGATATAGTGTGTTAAACAAAAATATCATTAATTTCACTTGCTTCTTTTTAAGTTTTTAATGCAGCTGGGAGAAATTTCAGAATTGGTGGGGGAGGGATAAATTGGGAGACTGGGATTGCCTTATACACACTACTATATGTAACCGTATATAAAATATGTAACTAATAGGACTTACCTCGCAGCACAGGGAACTCTACTCGGTACTCTGTTATGGTTTATATGGGAAATGAGTCACTAAAAAGGAACGGATACATGTATGCATATAATTCATTCACTCTGCTGAACTCTTACAAGTTGTTAACTATACTATACTCCAATAAAACTTTTTTAAAGAAAGAAATTTGAATGGCACATGTGACTCACACATAGTTCTGTTAGCCAGGGCTGCCATATATGACCTCACTTCACACTCACTTCCCCTGCACTTACTCCCTTCCAACCATACTCGCCTCCTTGCTCTTCCTGGGACATGCCACTCATGACCTGACCTCAGAGCCTTACACTTGCTGCTTTCTGCCTAGAATGCTCTCCCCACCCCGATGACCACACCGTTCCTTTCCTCACCCCTTTCAGGTCTCTGCTCAAAGGTGACCTTCTCTGTGAGTCCTCCCTGACCATCCTGTACATACTAACAAGTCCCTCCCTTACCCCCTACTCTGATCTCTTCCGCAGAGCACTCATCACCGTCTGCCACAGTATACACTTATTTAATCATTTGTATTTTTCTACAAAATGCAAGCTCCGTGAAAGCAGGGGATATGTCAATTGCACTCACGGTGTATCCATGGTTGCCAGTGTCTAGTACATAGTGAAGGCTGAATCCCTATGTGGTGGGTGAAAGAACAAGTGTATTTAGAACAGTATCTATAGATCATAATGAGCTTCCCTCATTATGATAGCTCAGTTGGTAAAGAAGCTGCCTGCAATGCAGGAGACCCAGGTTTGATCCTTGGGTAGGGAAGATCCCCTAGAGAAGGGAATGGCAACCCACTCCAGTATTCTTGCCTGGAGAATCCCAAGGACAGAGGAGCCATGGGATCACACAGAGTCGGACATGATTGAGTGACTAACACTTTCTTTCCTTTCACTCGTTCATAATAAATGTTCAAAACACATTGGCTAATAACATTAAGGAAGCCAAAAATGACACAGGACCAGGCTATCAGTCAGTACAGGACTACATCCAAACATCAATGTAGGGGGACTTCCCTGGAAGTCCAGTGCTCAAGACTTCATCTTCCAACGCAAATGGTGCAGGTTTGATCCCCAGTGCAGCCAAGATCCCACATGCCTCATGGCCAAACCTTGCCCACGATTTTAAAATTGATCCACATCAAAAAACCTTTTTTAAAAAAGCATCAATGTGGGGCCCAGCCCAGTAGTGCTCAGAAGTGAAAGCCAGAGGGCAATCTTCAAAGACAGACCTCACTCCCAACACCCTGCCTAACCAACAGCAGCCTGATGAAGGCAGGGAAAAAACCATGCCTCTCCTCTTCTTGTAAAAGTAAAAGGGGAATTAGGGCAGAGAGGGAATCAAGGTTCGTTTTCCTACCCATTCAAT